GTTATTCCCTATTAACACATCAAGTTGTCCTGATATATGATTTTTAAACTTCTAGGAGGTGTAAGGAAAGGAAGAAGGAGATAGTGTGGGAGAAATTCTAACATGCTCTTTATCCGTTTAAGTTGGGGGAGCGCATTTCTGACTCCCAATTAATTTGATTTTTGGTGATTCTAAATTAGCACCGAATGAGAACTAGTACTTTTGAGAGAGAGAGGTTTAAGTGAAAGCAATTGTGAGAGGGTGAGGCCTACTGAAAGAATAAAAGCAGGTGTGAACTTAAAGTCAAGAGTTCTAGCTGGCTGAGAAGCGCAGAAGAGGAACTAGAGTTGCCACTGAGCACTGATGCCAGAAACAATGGACAAGATACTGGGGGCATCATTTTTGATTCTGTGGCTTCAGATAATCTGTTAAGTTGTTCCCTATGAAATTCTTCCTTAATTTCATTAATTAGGGGGACTGAGAAAATTGGATTACAAACAAGTTCATGCAGATAGAAACTTTAAACAAGAAATATGTTTCATGAAACTAATGGCTTTTATTTCTTTAAGCAGGGGTGAATGGACAACAGAAGGAAAAAGTGACCAACAGCAGGTGAAACAGGCCCCTCAATCTTTGACAGCCCAGGAAGGAGAGATTTCCATTCTGAACTGTAATTATGAGAACAGTTGGTTTGACTACTTCCCGTGGTACCGACAATATCCTGGTAAAGGCCTTGCATTCTTGATAGACATACGTTCAGCTGTGAATAAAATGGAAGATGGAAGACTCACCGTATTCCTCAATAAGAGCGCCAAACAGCTCTCATTGCACATCGCAACTTCCCAGCCTGGAGACTCAACCACATACTTCTGTGCAGCAAGTGCACAGTGCTCCCCGGGCACCTGCAGCCTGTACCCAAACCTGCAGCTGAGGCTCCAGACACACCCTGCTGAGTAGATACACACACACAATTTGTTTGTGCATAAAAAGCCTTAATATATACAAGAAAACTGAAATTATACAGAATTTATTCTTTCATCAAAATGGAATTGATACAGAAAGCCAATTGTTAAAAGATGTCTTTAAGAACTCCCAAACATTTGGAATACATGCGCTAACTTAAAAATAACCATGGGTTAAAGAAACAATTACAATGACTTTAGAAAATATTTTGAAAGTAAATATTGTGAGAGCACATGATACAAACATGTATGAGATGCAGGTAAAAATAACACATGGAAGGAAATTTATCTCTTTAAATACTTATATTACTAAAGAAAAAAAGTTGAAAAATTATTATCAAGACTTGCAGCAAAAGATGATGGACAAGCAAATTAAACTCAACATAAATTGAAAGAAGCAAATAATAAAATGTTGGATTGGTGAAATACAAGAATACTATGGATATAACTATGAAATACAAAATCAACTTTGTTAAAAAGATTAATAAAATTGATATATTCGTATGTAGAATTATCCATGGAAAAAAGAAAAAACACAAAGTATAAATATTAATAGTAAAAAAGAAAACTATTCTGCATGTTCTACAATGTTCTAAGGGTAATGAATGAATATCATTAACAAGTTTATGTCACTTTGTAAGTGTATAGAGGTAGACCTACACAGGTTGGGAAAACTTATATTTTGAAAAAGTGCAAAGACAATTCAATAGAGGTGACATAGTCTCATGAGCAAATGAGGTTGGGACAATTGGATATTCTTGGGAAATAATTGAAACTTGGCCTAAACATCATATCTTATACAAAAATTTGTGTACAGTCTCAAAATGAACCCTCAGTTCAGTTCAGTTCAGTTCAGTTGCTCAGTCGTGTCTGACTCTCTGCAACCATGGACTGCAGCACACCCGTTTTCCCTGTCCATCACCAAATCCCTGAACCTGCTCAAACTCATGCTCATCAAGTTGGTGATGCCATCCAATCATCTCATCCTCTGTTGTCCCTTTCTTCTCCTGCATTTACTCTTTCCCAGCATCAGGGTCTTTTCCAGTGAGTCAGTTCTTTGCATCAGGTGGCCAAAGTATTATAACTTCTGTGTCATCATCAGTCCCTCCAATGAATATTCAGGGTTCGTTTCTTTTAGGACTGATCTGCTTTGATCTCTTTTCTGTCCAAGGGACTCTCAAGAGTCTTCTCCAACACCACAGTTCAAAAGCATCAATTCTTCTGCACTCAGTTTTCTTTATGGTCCAACTCTCACATCAATACATGACTAGTGGAAAAACCATACCCTTGACTAGATGGACCTTTGTCCTATACCGTGTACCAACAAAAGGTCCATATTCATAACCCAGCCTAACTTAACGATGCTCAACACTTACATTAGTGTACAGTTGGAAGAAATCATGTAACACAAAATGTATTTTATGCCAAAGTGTTGAAAATCTCATGCAATTCATTGAGTATTGTACTGAAATTGGCATGCTGCCGTCCATGGAGTCGCAAAGAGTTGGATATTACTGAGTGACTGAACTGAACTGAACTGAAAGTGGGGCTTCCCAGGTGGCACTCATGGTAAAGAACTGGCCTGCCAATGCAGGTAACATAACAAACTTGGGTTCAATCCCTGAATCAGAAAGATGCCCTGGAGGAGGACACAGGAGACCACTCCAGTATTCTTGCCTGGAGAATTTCATGGACAGAGGAGCCCGCTGGGCTTCAGTCCATAAGAGTTGGACATGACTGCAGTGACTGAGCACATATACAGATAAAGCGAAAAACAGAATGATTGTATGAGTACAGAATGAATGAAGTTGTTTACCATCATGATCTCAGGGTCGGCCAGGAGCTCAGGTCACTGCTGCTGCCCAGAATCACCAGAGAATAATACGCTACATCTTGTTAGCATGGGAAAAGATCAAACTTAAAAATTCAAAGTATGGTTACTACTGAATGTGTTCACTTTCTTACCACTGTAAAGTCAAAAATCCGAAGTCAAAACATCATAAATTGGTGAGTCTATAGTGATTAAGAGAAACAGATTATTGTTACATGAAACAGCCTAGATGGGGATTCCTAGGTGGGTCAGTGGTAAAGAATCTGCCTGCAATGCAGGAGACCCAGGTTTGATGCCTGGGTCAGGAAGATCCCCTAGAGAAAGAAATGGCAACTCCCTCCAGTATTCTCCCCTAGAAAATTCCAAGGACAGAGGAGCCTGGCAGTCTACAGTACATGGCGTCTAAAGAGAGTATGACTTGACTTAGTGACTAAACAACAATAGCCAAGATGGATCTCAGGATGTTATGCTGAATGAAAGAAAAATCAATCTCAGAGGCTACATGGTGTATGTTTACACTTGTTGGATTATTATGATTGTATATATGGTGTGATTCTACTTATACAACATTCTCAAAAGGACAAAATATAGAGATAAAAAGGAGATTAGTAGTTGCTGGTGTTACAAAGAGTTGCAGGGATAGGGAGGGCATGCAAAGAGGGTTTCTTTAGAGAGATATGTCATGATTTTAGTGGCGGTACAAGAACCTATATAAGTGATAAAATTTCATAGAGCCTCATATCAATACCAAAGAGCATGTATAAAAACTGATGTATAAGATTATGGTCTGTATTTTGATAAAAATGTCATCAATATCAATTCGTAATATTTATGTGATTATTAATACATATCTGTATTTTATAACATCATGTTGCTGCACAGGCTGATGTGGTCATTCATGATATCTTCTCTGCTTAGTTACAAATAATTTCAATCCCAGGTATTGGTTACCTGCCAGCACTAAGAAGTGAAATGGGACAGAAGACTGGATGTCTCAGATAAATACAAACTCGCCTCCCTGCTTCACTCATTCATGAGTCATTTTGATCTTAAATTCCATGAACTGGCACTGTTTTAAACCTTGTCTGTATTTTTCTTTTCTACTTGTCTGTTGCCCTTTCATTCTTTTATATTAATTCATCCATTACAACAATGAAACCAAATAGAAGATTGACAGCGACATTCCACATGAACCTGAAACAGTGCACAGAACTTCAGTCACCAACTTCTGTGGTATTGACAGGTCCTAAGTGTCTGTAGTCTGTAGATATTAAGTTTTGCAGAAGTGCATTATGTCAGTACATCAGAGAAAGATCTGGCATGTTTATCTTAACTTTATTTTACAGAGAGAAATAATAATGAGTGAGAAGTTAGACTGAATCCTCTGGACCAATGAGATAGAAAATGTGACATTTGGATGATTCTAAGAAATATGATCTAATAAGTACAATTCTACATTTAGAGGCAACAGGATTGAATAGCTGATTGCCCTCAAAGTCTAATACATAAGACTTAATATCAGATTTCAAAAGAATAATATTTTATTCCAGTTATAATTTCATTTAAATATAAACCACTGAATAGACTCTGAAATTCAGATGGACTGATTTTTTAAAAATCATTTCATGTTGAAGTAGTTTTATTTATTGAAAAATCTAGGTAGAGTACTGGAACTCGGTTTAAAAAAAAAGATGAGATACATTAATTACTTTGGATAAGATTGCTTTTCACACAAAAGACCTAAGATCTGTGAAAGTTTTAAAATAATCACTAGATTCTGGATGGAGAAAAGTAAATATAGGCTAAATGAATGACCAATCAGTAGATTACAAGAATGTTTTGTAGGCTATACTAAATTATATCTTAAACCCGATGGCAAAATTATTTTACTGAATAAGTACCAATATATGTCAACTTGTTTAACCTTCAATTTCCCTCAGTTCAAACCTTTAATATTAATTGCTTTCTTCATGCTCCTTTTCAGGATCTGCCAAAACTAATGATCAGGGAAAGACAAGTAGACAAAGTAAAGGTTTGTAGTGAGCCAGACTTTTTCCCATCTGGGCTGAGACAAGCTGGTCTATGAATACGACAAACCCCACTTCCTGTATGGGGGAGGAGTCACACAGGAGCCAGGTACTATGTATATGTGCTGTCAGGCACTTAAAGATGCTGAATTCTTAGCTTGAGCCAGAATTAAACACATTTATGCACAGAATCCATGCCTCATGTCACTCTCCAGCCTGCTCTGGGTGTTCCTGGCCTTCATCATCTCCGGTAGGGATGCTTCCAAACATGGGTGCCAATGTTCAGGGTGAAAGGACTGCACACAGGCATGTGGTTCTTCACAGGGATTTGGGGAGGAAATGAGGACTGGAGAAAAGCAAGCATCTTATGATTTCAATTTGGGTTGTAAATATTTGGGTCAGTCCAAAATTAATATCTGCATTATTTTGTTCACTATTTCAGTTCTGTTTTCTCACATTTTTCACAGGATCTGGTGTGGCCCAGAAAGTTACTCAAGACCAGTCAGACATAATCAAGCAAGTGGGGCAGTCAGTCATTCTGAACTGCCAGTATGAAATAAGTTGGTCCACATACTACTACTCCATTTATTGGTACAAGCAGCTTCCCAGGGGACAGATGACTTTCCTCATTCATCAATATTCAGAAGACAACAATGCAGGGAATGGCCGCTACTCTGTAAACCTCCAGAAAGCATATAAATCCGTCAGCCTCACCATTTCAGCCTTACAGCTGGAAGATTCTGCCAAGTATTTCTGTGCTCGAAGGGAGCTCTCAAGGACAGTTAAGGCAGCTCACGGTGCTTGAAGTAATGGGGAAAGCCTTACAAAAACTCCAGAGCTTAATAAGAGAGCTCTGCTGCTGCAGGATCCCAGCTGAAATGCACACCTGCAGACCCCAGACAAGAAATGGTGATCATGTGGTTGCTTAATGTGTGGTCTGAATTAGAGAATTTAATTCTAAATTAAAGCTTCTTCTATGTCCAGAGTAACTTTCTACTATTTACATTATCCTTGAATTTTTTTATTTTAAATCAATCTTACAGAACATGCGTGAAGTGGTCTAAACTTGCTCCAAAGTTAATTGAAAATGACAGTTTCACTGAAATACACTAACATCACAAATCTGGGTATAGTTATCTGGAACCATCATGAAAATCATTTCCTTTGTCCTTTCTTCTTAGACTTGTGTCACTTAAGGTACAATCAAAGAAGAAGATCACCAGTGGTATCAAATAAGAAATTAGTTTTGAAGATTAGAACTCAGGCAATTGCTAGATCTGGTGGAAGGGTGTATACAAAGCTGTTATCTTTGTATGTGGTGTTGAGACTGAATTCATTGTTAATCAGTTAGAGCAAAGTTAGGGAGAGACTGAAGCATGGAAAACTGTGACTCATAAGGACATACTAGAACCATGAAGGTAATGGAACCCACATAGACAAAAAAACCCACATAGACACACATAAAACTTTTCTATGTCTCACCTCCTTTGGTCTCACAGTAGTGGGTGAGCTTAGGAGAAGTGGGTGTCATTTGGCATCATGCTATATGCATACTTGGCCCAAGACAAACAGAAGATGAGGAAGAGGATTGGTGGGAAGTGGAGGGGTTGTGAGTCAACAATGAGCTATCAGATCAGCAGCAACATGAGTGAATAACCATAGTCCCTGGAGCCCTGCGCCAACCCCCAAAACATAAAACTGTGGCTGCTTCATCAAAACGACCTCCCAAATGTCACACACATTTCTTTTGTGGCCAACCCTAAGCCAGAACAATATGGAAGCACATTCTGGGAAAGATATTTCCAATTAGTTAAGACAGATCAAAGGGATAGATCAAATACCCTCTTTGTTAACTTGGAATCCATCACTACTCTTTTAACAGCTTTTGAATAAAGACCATAGCAAAACTATGCTTCTTGCTAATGTTGTTGTTGTTGTTCAGTCACTAAGTTGTGTCTGACTCTTCGTGGTCCCATGGATTGTAGCACACCAGGCCTCTCTATCCTGACAAGCATGGAAATAGAGAATAACTATAATTGGGGATGAAGGATAATTTATTAAAATTATTAAACTGGAATTTCAAAATGGATGAATTTTATGGAATGTTACTTATACCTCAATAGAGTTGCTCAAAATAAATAAGACTTTGTTCTGTCTTACCTGTGTCACAGTCCAGGAATAATGTTAATGGAATTCAACATGCACATATTTATTTAAACAGTGATTCTGTGCCCACAGTTTCCCTCAGTTCACTTCAGTCGCTCAATCATGTCCAACTCTTTGCAACCCCATGGACTGCATGCAGCACACAGGCCTCCCTATCCATCACCAACTCCTGGAGTTTATTAAATTCATGACCATTGAGTTGCTGATGCCATCTGACCATCTCACCCTCTGTCATCCCCTTATCCTGACTTCAATCTTGCCCAGCTTCAGGGTCTTTTCAAGTGATTCAGTTCTTTGCATCAGGTGGCCAAAGTATTGGAGTTTCAGCTTAAGCATCAGTCCTTCCAATGAACGTTCAGGACTGATTTCCTTTAGGATAGACTGGTTGGATCTCCTTGCTGTCTACAGGGCTCTCAAGAGTCTTCTCCTACACCAAAGTTCAATAGCATCAATTCTTTGGCCCCCCAAAATTGTCACTATTCCCACTGTCTCACCATCTATTTGCCATGAAGTGATGGGACCAGATGCCATGATCTTAGTTTTCTGAATGCTGAGCTTTAAGCCAACTTTTTCACTCTTCTCTTTCACTTTCATCAAGAGGCTCTTTAGTCCTTCTTCTCTTTCTGCCATAAGGCTGGTATCATCTGCACATCTGAGGTTATTGATATTTCTCCTGGCAATCTTGATTCCAGCTTTTGCTTCATCCAGTCCAGTGTTTCTCTGCATATAAGTTAAATAAGCAGGGTGACAATATACAGCCTTGATGTGCTCCTTCCCTGGTTTGGAACCAGTCTGTTGTTCCATGTCCAGTTCTAACTATTCCTTCATGACCTGCATACAGATTACTCAGGAGACAGGTCAGGTGGTCTGGTATTCTCATCTCTTGAAGAATTTTCCACAGTTCATTGTGATCCACACAGGCAAAGACTCTGGCATAGTCAACAAAACAGAAGTAGATGTTTTTCTGGAACTCTCTTGCTTTTTCGATGATCCAGAGGATGTTAGCAATTTGATCTCTGGTTCCTCTGCCTTTTCTAAATCCAGCTTGAACATCTGGAAGTTCACAGTTATATACTGTTTTAGCCTGGCTTGGAGAATTTTGAGAATTACTTTACTAGCATGTGAAATGAGTGCAATTGTGAGGTAGTCTGAGCATTCTTTGGGATTGCCTTTCTTTGCGATTGGAATGAAAACTGACCTTTTCCAGTCCCATGGCCACTGCTGAGTTTTCCAAATTTGCTGGCATATTGAGAGCAGCACTTTCACAGCATCATCTTTCAAGATTTGAAATAGCTCAATTGGATTTCCATCACCTCCACTAGCTTTGTTCATAGTGATGCTTCCTAAGGTCCACCTGACTTCACATTCCAGGATGTCTGATTCTAGGTGAGTGATCACACCATCATGATTATCTGGGTCATGAAGATCTCTTTTGTATAGTTCTTCTGTGTATTCTTGCCACCTCTTCTTAATATCTTCTGCTTCTGTTAGGTCCATATCATTTCTGTCCTTTATAGAGCCCATCTTTGCATAGAATATTCCCTTTGTATCTCTAATTTTCTTGAAGAGATCGCTAGTCTTTCCCATTCTATTGTTTCCCTCTATTTCTTTGCATTGATCACTGAGGAAGGCTTTCTTATCTCTCCTTGCTATTCTTTAGATCTCTGCATTAAATGGGTATATTTTTCCTTTTCTCCTTGGCCTTTCACTTCTCTTCTTTTCACAGCTATTTGTAAGGCCTCCTCAGACAACCATTTTGCCTCTTTGCATTTCTTTTTCTTGGGGATGTTCTTGATCCCTGCCTTCTGTACAATGTCATGAACCTCCATCCATAGTTCTTTAGGTATTCTGTCAGCTCTATTCACTTGAATCTATTTGTCACTTCCACTGTATAGTAGTAAGGGATTTGCTTTAGGTCATACCTGAATGGTCTAGTAGTTTTTCCCTACTTTCTTCAATTTCAGTCTGAATTTGGCAATAAGGAGTTCATGATCTGAGCCACAGTCAGCTCCCAGTCTTGTTTTTACTGACTGTATAGAGCTTCTTCATCTTTGGCTGCAAAGAATATAATCAATCTGATTTTGGTATTGACCATCAGGTGATGTCAATATGTAGAGTCTTCTCTTGTGTTGTTGGAAGAGGGTGTTTGCTATAACCGGTGAGTTCTTGGGGCAAAACTCTGTTAGCCTTTTCCTTGCTTCATTCTCTTCTCCAAGGCAAAATTTGCCTGTTACTGCAGGTATTTCTTGACTTCCTACATTTGCATTCCAGGTTTCTACAATGACAAACACATCTTCTTTGGGTGTTAGTTCTAGAGGGTCTTGTAGGTCTTCATAGAACCGTTCAACTTCAGCTTCTTTAGCATTATTGGTCAGGGTATAGGCTTGGATTACTGTGATATTGAATGGTTTGTCTTGGAAAAGAACAGAGATCATTCTGTAGTTTTTGAGATTGCATCCAAGTACTGCATCTCAGACTCTTTTGTTGACTATGATGGCTACGCCATCTTACAATGCTCACCAAATGACAAAAAATAGTATTGCTCTTTATGTAGGTTCAGTTAAAAAAAAAAAAAAATATATATATATATAGATAGATAGATAGTTTAAAAGTAAAGATGTTTAATATTGCAAAATGTTTCAGGCAAGACTGTTATGAATATTATGTTGATTTGTGAGCACCCTTCAGAATCACAGGTGAGTGCATAAGAGATGGAAAAAGAAAAGATCCTGAGAACTCCTGGGAAAGAATATTTCATTTTGCAAGAATCTCTTGCATCCATGTCAGCTAGATAATTTATTTTTGTTTTCTCTTCCCTAAAATCCTCCACAAATTCCAAATCAGACTCTGCCTTCTTTATAATGTTCTTAAAAAATGCCCCTCAAGTCCTAAAATAATGACCTTTCTATTTCCCACTCTCACTCCACACCTCTCCCGTCCATTCTGAATTGGTAGAGAGGTGAGGGTGGGACTTCCTGTCACAAAGTGAGGGCATGAGCAGGATTTGTTTGGTGAGCGGATTGGCTGCAGGAGCAAGAACATTTCTGCATGGACTTATGACATTCACCCCTCAGGGTTTAGTGAAGTGTTTTACAGTGGAAATGTCTCAGTAAGAAGAGGAAGCATCATGAAGAGGCTAGCAGGCACTGTTCTGGGGCTTTTGTTTGCCCAGGTTTGCTGTGAGTTGGGGCTGACCCACAGGGAATCTGAAGGACTGACCAGCTTCTGTAATTTTAAGGCAGAGAGAGGAGCTGACAAGTCCTGAAGACTTTCTATCCTTCTCATCATCTATGGGGACTGGGGGGAGGGGGAGGCGGGGACAGTTTCAGGGTTTTGTAGGAGCTACAGTGACCCTCACCTGTGACTACTTCTTTTTACTCATCAGGTGTGTGAGAAGTGGATGGTGAGCAGAGTCCCCCAGTCCTGAATCTCCAGGAGGGAGTCAACTCCACGTATTGGTGTAAATTTTCCACTTCCCCACAGAGTGTGAATTGGTATAAGAACCCTGGGGGCTGCCTCATCCACCTGGTTTATGTTCCTTTCAGGACAAAACAGGACAGAAGATTAAATGCCACCACAGTCTCTACAGAACACCGGAACTCGCTGCACATTTTCTCTTCACAGACCACAGACTCGGGC